TGTGCTGGGCCCCTTCAGCAGCCCTCGAAAATGGCGACAGTTCCACAGATCGCAGCCCCCCAGGGATGGCGAGGTCTAATTTGAGTCTGCGGTGGGTACCCACTGTGCTGGGCCCCTCCCTCAGCAGCCCTTGAAAGTGGCGACAGTTTCACAGATCGCAGCCCCCCAGGGACGGCGAGGTCTAATTTGAGTCTGCGGTGGGTACCCACTCTGCTGTGCCCCTTCAGCAGCCTTCGAAAGTGGCGACAGTTTCACAGATCGCAGCCCCCCCAGGGATGGCGAGGTCTAGTTTGAATCTGCGGTGGGTACCCACTTGCTGGGCCCCTCAGCAGCCTTCGAAAGTGGCGACAGTTTCACAGATCGCAGCCCCCCAGGGATGGCGAGGTCTAGTTTGAATCTGCGGTGGGTACCCACTGTGCTGGGCCCCTTCAGCAGCCCTCGAAAGTGGCGACAGTTTCACAGATCGCAGCCCCCCAGGGATGGCGAGGTCTAATTTGAGCTTGCGGTGGGTACCCACTGTGCTGGGCCCCTCAACAACCAACGCAAGTGGCGACAGTTTCACAGATCGCAGCCCCCCAGGGATGGCGACGTCTAGTTTGAGTCTGCCGCGGGTACCCACTGTGCTGGGCCCCCCAGCAGCCCTCGAAAGTGGCGACAGTTTCACAGATCGCACCCCCCCAAAGGCAGGACGGCGAGGTCAAAGGCAGGGGGGAAGAGAGGGACGGGAAGTAAGGAAGGTTCGCGCGAGCAGTGCTCTATTCAAAACGAGAACCCAACGCAGGAGGGTTGGGAAAAAATGCAAGCGAAAATCAAACTCTGGGGAAACCTGTGCTTAAAAAGCAGTGCGCCGGGGGGGCGACGGACACTTTCAAACCGTCATCAGGGGAAGAGGGAGAGTAGTATTCATATTGGGTAATTGTGGAGGAGGAGGAGGAAGAGGAGGAGGAGGAGGAGGAGGAGGAGGAGGAGGAGGGGGAGGAGGAGGAGGAGGGGGAGGAGGGGGAGGAGGAGGAGGAGGAGGAGGAGGAGGAGGAGGAGGAGGAGGAGGGAGGAGGAGGAGGAGGAGGAGGAGGAGGAGGCTCCTCGGACGTCTCCCCGTGTCTCGGGGGGGGGGGGGGGGGCTGCTCTCGGCCAGCGCGCTGACACCCCGGAGCCCCTCGCGAAGAGAGCTGGAGCGGGGCGACGAGGACGAGAGGGCCGAGCAGGGAAGGATCGGAGGTTGATCGACCTCCTACCCTGACACGTCGATTAAGGATCGTTCTCGGTTCGCGAGAGGGCGTCGCGGCCGTCATTTTGCGGGTCCAGGCCCGTCGGTTTCGGTCCCAGGCCGTTTTCGCTAAGGGGAGGTTTACTAAAGGGAGGTTTGTCCACCGCCGAAAGGAGGGAGTTTAGCCTTCGGGAGGAGCAGCGTGCGCGCAGAGAACCGTTCGGAGAAGGAAAAGGTGGGCACCCATCCCGCTGCCCTTCCTCTGCTGTCCCCTTCCTGGACCTCTCGGCAGGCCGTCGTCGCCGCCGCCAGGTGCGCCTCGCCATCCTGGTCCGAACACACCCCGGGAGAGGCACAGTCGGCCCAGATTAGTAGGTCGACCCTGCCAGTTCAAGAGTACCTTCGTGTCCTGCGCCTCGCGACCCGTGCCTCCTGCATTCCCATGGCAGTGTGGCCCCCGGGAGGTTCTCTTGTCCCCTCGCGTGCCCCGTCAGATGAAGTCCGACTGCCCGGGGAGCGGCGCGCGGCGGTGCCCGTGCGTTTCCCCGGGAGGCACGGCGGAGGCTGTAAGCGTGGCAGTCTGGCGGGGGTCGCAGCTCAGCTGGGGAGGAGGAAGAGGAGGAGGAAGAGGAGGAGGAGGAGGAGGAGGAGGAGGAGGAGGAGGAGGCGGAGGAGGAGGAGGAGGAGGAGGAGGAGGAGGAGGAGGAGGAGGAGGAGGAGGAGCAGCGTGGCCTGCAGGGCGTGTTGCCTCCCGGGGACCGTCCCCCAGGCGTGCCCGAGCCGGCTCCCCGCCCCCACGCGGGCGTGGCCCCGCGGGCTGCCTCCACGGGCGCCTGCCGAGCCCCTCCCCCCGGGGGCGGCCCCGGGGGGTGCGGGGGCGTGGGGGCCGAGCAGTGGCGGAGCGCTCTGGCTCGCCCATCGCCCGACCCAACAATGCTCCAAGCACCTTTTGTGTTGCCCACGAGATGTTCTTCGAACAGTTCTGGCGGGGTCTGTCTTGTTTTGTTTTTGTTTTTTTGTTTAAAAACACATCGGGTTTCTGTTATAAGAACACTGTGTTTGTTTTTCGACCTTTTGGGGGGTTCTAAGATCATGTCGTGGTAGGACTGTAGGAATGCCGGGACGGTCGGTCCCTGCTCAAGGGGGGGTCGCGCTTCGGTGAGCAGCTGCGTGCTGGCCTCAAGTCGGGCGTGTCCCCCTACAGGAGGAGTCCTCAAGAACAGTAACAATGGTCCGGGGGCACGATGTTCCGTGTCTTTCTGTTAGTCTTGTTTGTTTTATGTTTTGTTTGTCTTGTGAAGAGATGTCCGACCTCATGCTATCCAGGTCACTTTGTGGCGAATGCGATGAACTCTATAGTATCTGGTCCATGTGAACATTTGAGCTTCTTCTGCCGCGTTCAATGCCACACGATTTAGAGGAGCAAGAGGCCATTATAATGATACGAACCATGATGTTCAATATTCCATGAATTCCCACCGCTCCGCATGGCCAATCGCCCTGACCATGCTCAAGGGTGCCACTTCTTGTTGCCACTGGGGGCGTGGGTCGTGGAACAAACACTGACGCTGATTTCTCGGATCGGCGCTGGAGCTCCCCAGCGGCGCTCCCAGCGCCGCCCCTTGCGCGCTCCGCGCCACAGGGAGGGGGCTCCAGCGCCGATCCGGGAAGTCTTCGCGGGCCTCCGAACTCTGATGCTGGGGTCGCTGCTTGTTTCGGTGTTTCGGCGGCGCGCCCGGAGGGGAGCGAGAGGGGGCGGGCCTTGGCTCGGAAGCCCCCCTGGCCCTCCGAGGAGTGCTCTGCGCCCTCCCCGAAGGCACGGGGCACTCCTCGGAGCGCCCGAGAAGCGCCCGAGCCCCGCCGCCCTCCGAGGGAGGGCCTTCCCCCCCCTCGCCCAGATGGTGCCGCTCCGAGGGCCCTCTGGGAGAGGCGCCCCCTCGCCCGCCGCCGGTGCCCTCCCCCCAAGTGTGGGGGACCGTCGGCGGGGGGGGGGGGGCGGCGGCCCACGTCGTGGCGGGCCGTGCGGGCAGGGGGGCCTCCAGCGCCCCGCGGCCCCCCCCGCGCGCCCTGCTGCTCGCGGGCCCCCAAACGGGGTGGTGCTCACACCGTGTGGTGAGTCGGTGGGGATTCGGGGTCACCGCACGGTTTTGGGACTCAGGTCGTTCTCCGAGGATGTCTCGGGCGAGGGGGGCCTCCGAGGTCCCAAGGCCGTGCGTTGGCGGACCGTGCGGTGAGGCCTCCGGGGGCTTTCGAGGTCACCGCCACGGTCTGTCACCGCCTCGTTCCGGGACTCCACAGTCGCCCCCTCCGGCCTCTGCGCCTGGCCCCGGGCGGGGCCGAGGCGAGGACAGGCCCGTTCCCCGACTCCCGATGTTGTTTTTATTCCTCGCCCGAAGTCGTCCTTGTCCCGGTTGCCCGCTTCTGGTCGGCGGCGCCCTCCGCCCCCCCTCCGCCCGCCCTCGCGGCCCCCTGGCCCCGGGGGGAGGGAGGAGAGCCACGCCCCCACAGGGCTCGGCTTCTCGGCTTCGCCGGCTCGCTTCGGTGCCGCCTCCGACTCGATATCGCCTCCAGTCCGGCTGCTCGATTCGACTCTGGGCTCCCCTGCCTCCAGCGAGGAAAGCCGCGAGGCACCCCCGAGCTGGGGATCGGGGCCGTCTTCGAGCCAGGCGGGGATGGAGCCACACCACCAGGGGAGTACCCTCCTGGCTTTCAGTCGGGGGGGATGTTCAAAAATAGCCAAAAAATAGCCTGGGGACTATTTTTACCATATTTTTGGGAATATGTTTTGAATATTTTCTGAATATGCTTTATTTTTCGTCCCAAATCCGCCTGTAGGGGGACAGGCCCGACCTAATCCTGGCTCCTCCCGCTGGTGGTCCCTGGAGGTGGTGGTGCCGCTGCAGTCAACCCGCGTAACTAGTAAGGACGATCGACTTTCCAAGGTCACCCTTGCATCCTTGCTTCTTCGGCCCACCCCTGGGGACTAGTTATCGCCCTCGAAGTGCGCCGCCATGACTTCCCAAGGCCCTCCTGCGTCCTGACCGCGCATCCTCACTGTGTGGGTTGACTGCTCCTCGTTCCTCCTGGCTCTGGCCAGAGGTCCGGCCACCCCCTCCCTGCGAAGCGGGTCCCCAGATGTTGCCAGCGGGGAGGCGCGCAGGTAGGGAACGCCGCGCCCCCTCTCGGTTGTTCAAAGATGGGGTCTTGAGGAACGGGGGCCGAAGGACGGGAAGGGACCCAAGGGTGGATTTGCCCTGTTTGAGGCACCTCGTCCGTAGGACCCCACCCCTCAGGACGCCACCTTCGAAACAAATATTCGCGTTGCATCGGAGGAGGACGGGTATACAGGTCTGTCTTATTTCCGTTGCCTTGCCCCCCTTCCAGGAAAGGGGCATACAGCAAAAGGAGGAGGAGGAGGAGAAGGAGGAGCCTCGGGGGGAGGGCCATCTTTCTTTCTTCTTGTGCTTTTTGATGTTTGTTTTTTTATCTCTTTCTCTCTCTTGTCTGCTCTCGCCGTTTACCTTGTACCGTCCACCTTTGAAAATGATCTCCCACCAGCTGGCGACTCCTGGGACGAACCCTCGACGAGCCGCCCGGCTTTTCGTCGTGCGGGCGACGCCGGATAAACCTACTAGAGCCTTCAGCTACTCAGCCACTCAGGAGGAGCAGGGGGAGGGAGCATGACCGAGGTGGATCTGCAGACGTGTTCGATCTTGGAGTTCCGTTGCCTCACTTCACACGTTCCCCGGCTCCGCTCCGGTCCCCGCGACCCGCTGCCAACCCCCTGCCGCAGGCCCAGCCCTTGGGCGGGGCGCGGCTCTACAGCGCCAAGGACCCGACGCGGGGCGGCCAATGCTCGTTGCATCTTGCCCGCGCACGGGTGCAGGCAGCCAGGGCACTGGCGAGGCGATGTGGATTGCGGCTTCCTCTGCGCAGATGGCGCCCAGGAACCGTGCATCGGTGATGTGTTGGCGATGCGGCTCCGACTCCCTCTGGCAGGCCTCCGGCGGGAGGAGAGCATCCACAGGCGCGAAGGCGGGTGAATTGGGCGGCATGCCCAGTCACTCCCGCCCTCGCATCCTCCTTCCCGCCCTCCCTTCCCCTCCATCGTCCGTCCCGCAGCCCCCGCGGCCTCGTCCCTCCCCCGTCGCCCCCCCCGAGGCACGCCACGGCCACATCACTTGAAGTCCCTCTTGTCTTCCTTCTCTTCCTCTTCCGCCTCCTGCCCCCCAAACCCCGTTGTCTCATCGTCTGTCTCCCCGTGCTCCTCGTCCTCCCCATCCGCTTCTTCCAGTTCCTGTCAGGGGAGGGGAGCGGGAGCAGGAGGAGGAGGAGGAGGAGGAGGAGGAGAGGAGGAGGGGGAGGAGGAGGAGGAGGAGGAGGAGGAGGAGGAGGGGGCGAAGGAGGAGCAGGAGGAGGAGGAGGAGGAGGAGGAGGGGAAGACAAGCTAGGTGCGCTCGCGTCATATCTGACGTCCTGCCCCTCCCTATTCGCACAATCGGATGTCTTAACATGTCACAGCATTATATGGCATAGCATGTTCTCGAACATCAACGCGTAGCCTGACATAGCATGGCGTGGCGACGCCCCAAGGGGCTTCTGCGGCCCAACAAATCAACGAATCGACACCGAATGTATTATCGCTTCCGATGGTTTCTTCGGGAGGCCATTTTTCCAGATTTTGGGGCCTATTTGGGAGGACCGAACGTCCATGCCGGGGCATGGCACTTGAAATAATGACGCCAGCGCTGCAGCGGGAACAGGAACGAGCGGAAGCGAAGAACTGAGGGCAGCGCTGCAGCGGGAACACGATTCGGAACGAGCGGTAGCCCGACAATGTGGCCAGCGCTTCAGCGAGAGCAGCATTTTGAAAAACAATTCAGCGCGGAAGTGCGAACATGGGGACGCGTAGCTTGACATAGTATGGCCTGGCGACGCCCCAAAGTGTGGGGGGCTTCTGCGGCCCTGAAAATCAACGAATCGACACCGACTGTGGAATCACTTCGATGGTTTCTTCGGAAGGCCATTTTCCAGATTCGGGTGCCTATTTGGAAGGACCGAAAGTCCATGCCATGGCATGGCGCTGGAAATAATGATGCCAGCGCTGCAGCGGGAGCACGATTCGGAACGAGCGGAAGCGAAGAACTGAGGGCAGCGCTGCAGCGGGAACACGATTCGGAACGAGCGGTAGCCCGAAAATGAGGAAAGCGCTTCAGCGAGAGCCGTTCTTTTGAACAGCAAAAAATGAAGACGCGTAGCCTGACATATTATGACTTGGCGACGCCCCAAAGGGGGGGGGCTTCTACGGCCCAACACATCAACGAATCGACACCGAATGTATTATCGCTTCCGATGGTTTCTTCGGGAGGCCATTTTTCCAGATTTTGGGCCTATTCGCGAGGACCAAAAACCATGCCGGGGCATGGCACTTGAAATAATGACGCCAGCGCTGCAGCGGGAGCACGATTCGGAACGAGCGGAAGCGAAGAACTGAGGGCAGCGCTGCAGCGGGAACACGATTCGGAACGAGCGGTAGCCCGACGATGTGGCCAGCGCTTCAGGTAGCATTCTTAATAAACAAGCCAAGCCAAAACCCGTTTCCTGGGCGCCTTGTGCGTAAAAAAACCGTACGCGGAGTGGGGCCGGCCATTTCCCGGACGCCACCAGGGGAGAGAGGAGGGTAACACTCACTGTGCTGAATTGTGGATCGGGAGGGCGGAGAAGGAGGAGCAGGATGAGGAGGCGGAGGAGGACGCCACCAGGGGAGAGAGGAGAGTAACATTCATTGTGCTGAATTGTGGATCGGGAGGGGGGAGAAGGAGGAGCAGGAGGAGGAGGCGAAGGAGGAGGGGGAGCAAGCCCACGGGCAAAGGCCACTTGGACCCCGCCCGTGGGCGGCCGCACTGGGCGGCGTTTTGGCTGAGGATCCCCTCCGTCGGGCAAGCCTGCAGGCACGGAGAAGGAGCAGGCGGTTTGTCGGGCGATCGCGAACACGGATCAAAGGGGGCGTGGAGTAGCGACGGCTCCCGTTTCCACTGGAAATCGCGGAGTTCCGCCGCCGAGCGAGGCGGCACCGGCCGCATCTTTGGGGGAGGGCACCTCCCCCGATCCATGGATTTGGCGACCGCGTTGCAAATCCATTGATCGCTAATCCATGTTTGCGCGCCCCCGAGTTTTGGGATGTGTTGGGCTATCAGGATAAGGCGAAACTGGCAGGCCAAGAGTGCTCAGGCTCGTTGGAGGCCGGGGCGGCGTGGCAGCGGTGTGGAGGAGAGGGAGGTTGACCAGCAGGAGGCGAAGGGAGACGAACGGAGGAGGAGCAGAGAGGGAGCCAGAATGAGAGGGATAGGTGAAAGGGGGTTCCAGCCAGGGCGTGAGCGAAACGGTGTTTCGGCAATTTCTTGGACCGCCTTCGCGTCGATCTCGTTCTGCAGCACAGGCGGGGTGAACACAAGACGGCAACGAACAACCTTGCTGAGATCGAGTCCCGGTTTCAGCCCCCGCCCTGGCTGGACAAATCGTTGTCTTCTGCCAGGTGCATCCTTTGCGTGCAATTCGGCACCCTAGCGGAACCCTTGTTCCTGCCTCCCCCCCTTTTCCTCTCTTCTCCACGACGTCAGGCAGCGATACTGGGCAGAGTGCAAAATGGCCAGACAGCCCGACACGTGTCGGGTCAGGTTTGAGAGGAAGTGGACGCAAGGCAGCATCGGATATTCTGCATTCCGCCATCGGCCCAGGAGAGCGTGTGGCTCGTCGCGTGACGCCCCGCCGCTGATGCCCGCGGGGAGCGCCGAGGAGAGGGCGATGCCGAAGAGCATGCAGATATAATCGCATCGTATGTCCATTGACGCTGTTGGTTCATGTTGTCCTTCTCCTGGCATCGCTCGGACGTGTGCATTTTTTTTTCTCGGCGAGGACCCTGGAGGAGCATCCTGGATCATCGAGCAAGCAAAAACACAAACGAAACCGAAACATGCACGGGGGATGGACGTCCGAGCGATGGCAAGTTCCTGAACCGTGGAGAAACATGGATCTGGAAATGCGTGGCTTCAGCCCTCCGAAGGCACTCCGCCAGCTCCCGGGGAAGCAATGAGAGTGCCCATGGGGAGGTGGTCCTGTGTCGGCCCACCGGGGGCCCCAGGGGTAACGAGAGGGCGTCGGGGAGAGGACGAGATTCGTTTGTGAGTTGGCGCGCTCAGGCTCGCAGAGATTTTGTTGGGGGGGTATCGAGGGTCGCTGTGTGTGTGAGAGAGAGTGTGTGTGCGTTTCTGACCCCCAGGGAGGAGGAGGAGGAGGAGGAGGAGGAGGAGGAGGAGGAGGAGGAGAGGGAAGAGGAGGAGGAGGAAGAGGAGGAGGAGGAGAGGGAAGAAGAGGAGGAGGAGGAGGAGGAGGAGGAGGAGGAGGAGGAGGAGGGGGAGGAGAGGGAAGAGGAGGGAGGAGGAGGAGGAGGAGGAGGAGGAGAGGGAAGAGGAGGAGGAGGAGGAGGGGAGGAGGAGCAGGAGGAGGAGGAGGAGGAGGAGGTGAGGTGCATCCACGACCCACGGGCTGGGCGGAGCCGGAGCCGAGGGCACTGCAGGCCGTCGGCAGGGGCGCGGAGGCCCCCGCGCGCCCAGAGAGCGCGCCCCCCCGCGGGGCGGCGGCGCGGCAGCGCGAGTGCAGCCGCGCCTCTCGCGGCGCGGGGCGCAAGGTCTGGTGGCCCGGGCAGGGCTCGGGTCAAGTCGGGGCGGTCCCTCTACAGTCGGGGGAGCGTAAGACCCGGGTTTGCCGGGACTCGGGTTCGCCATCGTTTTTTGACGACCGCGACTCGGATTTTGACGAGGAGGAGTTTCGTGGGATGTCTGCAGCGGGAGGCCTCGTCAAAATGCAGGCTCGGCCTCGTCATTTTTTTGACGACCTCGTCGGGGATTTCCGAGTCCCCCGTACCCGGGTCTTACGTCTCCCCGATACAGGAGGAACGTTCCAAGATAGCAAAGGAAGATAGTCAGGGGACGATTTTTTCTACTACTCGTGACGATTTCGGGGCGTGGTGGGCTTGTTTTTTTTGTGGTTTTTCGTGGAAAATCGGCCTGCAGGGGGACAGGCACGACTGAAGGCTTGGGACCAGCCTCCTGCCCCGCAGCCTGCCCGGTGACAGGTCTCGCGCCCTCCCTCCTGGTCTGTGAGGAGCCTCAGTATCGTTTCACCGACCCCCCTCCCCATCCTCCTCCCCTTCGAGACCCCAACCAAATTACCACCCCAGTTGAGGATACATCCATCGAAGCCCGAGGGGAGCGGCCTGTGTCCCCATCTAGGGGGGTACATCGGCCAGCGGGGCCCAGGCCAGGCCGCTGGGGATGGGAGTCGGAGAAACGATGCTCAGAGCCGTGTGGGCCTGGGACCTGGGCAAATCGCTACAGAGCGTTCCGGAGCCTTCTCCGAGCGTTCTGGAGCGCTCTCGGGAAGGCCTCGGTGCCGGCTGCAGCCTCCTGAGCCGCTAGGTGATGTTCCAACCTACCTCAGCCTGGATCACCAGAACAAACAAGATCGATCACCAAAAAAGTACCGAACCTCGAGGGTTTTCACGTGTCGGGCCCTGGGAGACACTCGTCAGACACTGTTTCGACACCTTTCCAGGTGCTCGAAATTATTTCTGGGGTGTGGTCCTTAAGTACGATGCGAACAACATAACGCTAGATCTCAGATCCCCGGTGTGTCCCGGTCCGAGTTTGTGTCCAGGTGTTGTTTGCGTCTGCGCGGGGCAGGCGGGGCTCTCCGCGTTGCCGCGGTCGGTTGGTTGTGAAGGAGTCTTCGCATGTGTGCTCGCCACCCATGCCGAAAGGTATTGAGACAGCAACTGCTGATCCCAACGTGCGTCGGCAACGACACTCATCAGCCACGCGCAGGGGGTGGTTGGGGGGAGGGGGAGGGTTCCTTAGAAGCGCCCCTGCTTCTTAGAGGGCGCGGGCCTTATCTATATGTAAGGCCGGCGCCTTCTAAGGAGCAGCCTCCTAAGAAGCCCTCCCCCTTCCCTCCACCCCTTTGTGCGCGCCGCCAAAATTATACATATATGTGTGTACACATAGATGTGTATATACACGTTGCAGCTGCTTAGTTTTGCGTGCCTTCTATGTTTCGCTTTCAGGCTCCAGTGCCGTGTTCCAGTTCTGTTGGTGCTGCCCGCTCGGCGCAGGCTGCTTTCCAACAGCTGAGGGCTTGACGCGTTGGCTCTGCGGCGCACGAAGGCTCATCAGGGTATCCACAAAGGGGCCCTCTGCACAAAACAGAGGGAGGGGATAGCTCTGTCAACTTCTGGGGGCGAGTGCCGTCTCCTCAGGAGGTGCATTTGGACCATTCCTATGCTCGTGGATGTTTCTTCGCACCTGTCGTCGTGACCATGTGCGGGAGCAAGTGCGCAATATGACCCGAGCCCGCAGGTATTGGACTCTCGCCTGGGTGGTCGTGCACCACGTGGCGTGGCCGCTGTGGCGGTGCTGGTTCCATTTGCCCCGGTTTGCTGCCATGTGTTGCTCGTCTCTTGGCATCGCTCGGACGTGTGCATTTTTCCTTCGGCGAGGACCATTGGGGCGCAGCCTTGATCATTCGGCGAAAAAAACCACGCACGAAGCCGAACAAAAACACAGGGAATGGACGTCCGAGCGATGGCCAGGTCTATCCTGTCACTAACTTGCTCTCGAGCCCACCCGAGGGACCACCGGCCTGTCGAGAGCGAACGCGCGGGGAGGGGAAGCGGAGAGGGGATGGAAGGCAAATGGGGAGAGGGGGGGGGAGTAGGAGGAAGAGGGCGAAGAGGAGGACGACGAGGAATTGGAAGGGAAGGGAAGGAAGGGGGAAAGACGAGGGAGGGGGAGGGAGATGAGTGGACGTGGAGGGCAGTGGGGTGGGGCTTTGACGGAGAATGGAGTGACACTGACGTTGATTGCGAGGCTCCGAGCCCACGGTCAGCCCTTGGTCGGGAGCGTCGCGCTCCACGGGGAGCGCCCTCTGCGAGCCCAGTTGGGGCATTCCTTCTTGTGCATGGCGTATTCGTGCAAAGTTCTGCTCGCGTTGGAAGCTTGTCTTCCGCATGGCGTCTCCACGCGCGGCCCCGTCGCGCAGGCCGCCCCCCCCCCGTCAATGCCGGCGCATTTCTCATTCAGGTCGTGCCCACTGTGGAGCTCCGCTCGCAGTCCCAGCTGGGGCGTCCGCATGTGGTCGCCCGCATTGCATGGCCACGGGGGATGGTGGGAAGCTACCGTCCGAGGCCCGATTGGTGTGGATAGTTGCGGGACGGTGGGAATCTCCACATGTATCAGGAAGAGCGGCCGACCGAAATTTGACACCGATCAGGCCATAGGGCATCGCCCTGTGACCCTGCCAGAAGGTTTGCGGCCTCGGCAACATGGGACCTCGCTCGCGACCACCGACAGCATCGGCCAAAGGTTGTCGGTGGGCGGCGATGGTGCCGCATCTGTGTAGCAGCGGGAACCACAGCTAACTACCTAGACACTTCGTGTCAGGTTGTTCTAGACTGGAGGGGACGGGGGGGGCGGCCGGGATGCGGGGGCCCCCCGTGGGGCAGCGGGGGGGGGCAGCGGGGCAGCAGGGCAGCTTCGGGTAAACAGAGAGGTGGGGCAGGAGGGACGGGCGGGCGTTGGGAACGGGAGTGGAGGCGGGGAAGCAGGGGGGACGACATGTGAGCGGGAAAGGGTGTGGGAGAGCGCGCGGTGGGGGGAGAAGAGAGCACGGGGGTGGCGAGGGAAGGAAGATGTGAACAGGTGTGGGGGTGGGGGGCGAGGTCGCGGCGAGGTTCATGGTGGGCCAGGGTGGGCGGGGGAGGGTGGAAGGGTGACTGTGGGGGTACGGGGTCCGTGGCAATGCTGGCTCGAGCCCCCGCGGCGTCCCCGTCTCTTGTCGGGCCAAAGCGGTGGCCCTGCCCCCCTCAAGTGGAGAATGGGGGGTTGCGCCAGCGAGCAGGCCCGCGCGCTTTCCCCGGCTGCCTCAAGGCCCCCTCAACATATCCCGCGCGCGCCTGTTGGCGGACGGGCGTTCGCGACGTCGGGGCGAGGTCGCCCTCGCCCAGCGGCAGCGGCAAAGCATGAGGCGGCGGTTTGCCGCCAAGGATGCCTCAACGAGTTCGGCCCCACCCGCGCCTGTCCAAATACGTCGTGGACGTGGTGAATCGATGCAGTTTTTGTTCGCCCACGCGGTCCCTAAAATATTCGCCTGGGTAGGTCAGTGTACAGGCGCACGTCTCCCAATCCGAATTGCCCCCCATTCCGCCAACGTTTGAGCGACCCCCCTGCTGCAAGTGGAGCTCGCTGTCGCCAGTGATCAATGGCGCCACCATCATCAGCATCATCATCATTGTCATCATCATCATCATCATCATCATCATCATCATCATCATCATCATCATCATCATCATCAGCATCAGCATCAGCATCAGCATCAGCATCAGCATCCGCATCAGCATCATCAGCATCAGCATCAGCATCAGCATCAGCGTCACTTTCACCGTCAAGATCAACATCACCATTCTCACCAACGTCATCGACGTCGTCACCTCCCTCCCTCTCATCGCCCCCATCCGCCCTCCTCGTCCTCTCTTCTTCCCTCTTCGGTCGCCCAGCGACGGTTTGGGCTGGGTCAGGTTTGGGGATACCAGTGTCGCCTCCCGACCGGCAGTCATCGCAAAGTTGGTAAAAAGACCGCGCCCGCGGACTCATTCTCTATCCGCAATGGCCAACCAACCAATCAACCAACCAACCAACCCACCCCCACCCTCTCCCCCCGTCACCCTCGCTCTCCTCTTCCTCACCCCTTGTTTCCCCCTCCGCCCCCCCCCGCGTTCCCATGCCCGCGTGCCTGCCGCTGTTGAGGCACGCTGCGAATGGTCGCAGTTTTGACCCAATCACTTGCGCATCGACGTCGCATGATGTGCGACCGTTGCCACCTGGCCCCCCTTTGTCCAGGGTCCATTGCGGGCGTTCCGATCCGATTCGATTCAGATCCTCGAGTGCGCGTGATCCACCGTCGGCGGCCCGAATAATTGTGCAACTCGGCGCCGGGACCAGGGCCGCCCCTCCATCAACAAGAACTCTTGAGGTGGGGGGTCGGTCTGAAACCAGGTGGCCCCTCCTCCCCTCCCACCCCCCCTGGGAAGAGCCCGGAGGGTCCGGACCCCCCCGCCCCCCGCCCCCAGGGAGCATGATTGGGGGGGCTTGGAGCCCCCCCACCCCGGAAATACTCGGGGGGTGCTGAACCTCCCCCCGCCCCCCCCGCAACCCCCGCGGGGAAAATCATTCGGGGGGTCCACACACCCCTCCCCAGGCGACGACGACGACGACGACGACGACGACGACGACGACGACGACGACGACGACGACGACGGCGGCGGCGGCGGCGGCGCCCTTGTCGCCAGCGCGGGCGCCAGGCGCTGGCTCTGAATTCTGTTCCATTTTGTTCAACATAGTTAAATCGGGCCTGTCCCTCTACAGGGGGAATAGTCAAAAAATGTAACAAAAAAAAAGCTGGGGACTATTGTTAAGAGTATATGTTTGACTATTTTGGGGTATTTTTTGTATTTCTCATTTTTGTCAAAAATCCCCCTGTAGGGGCACACGCCCGACTTAAACATATCCCGTCGGCACCCTTTCTATCATAACCCACCGTCTCCCACCCTATTATTTCCCGACCCGGCTCAACCCTGCTGTGCTAATTTGTTTTTTACTGTGCTGTACTCCTGCAGTCGTCTTCCCTGCGCGTGCTCAAATCTGCTCGTCGTCGTCGTCGTTTTCGAAATCCTTGTCGTTGTCGTCGTCGGCGTCCTCGACGTCGTCGTCGGCGGCGGCGCGGCGGCGAGCGAGGGGGAGGGGAATTGAGAAGGGGCGGGCCTCCTCGGAAGGCTCGGGGAAGTCCCTCGGCCTTCAGCAGGCGCGCGCGAGGACTCCTGAGAGGTCCCGCCGCCTGCTGGGAAGGCCTCCTCCGCCCCACTTCCCCCCCCCCTCGCTCGCCGCCGCTCGCTCTCCGACGCCCTTTTCCGCCGAGGCCGTGCCGCCCCCGCGCCGCCCGCCCGCGCCAGGCTCTGGCTCACCGGCGCCGCGCGGGGGCGCCCGCCGCCAGGCCGGGCGCCCTCCGCCCCCCCGGGGGGGGGGGCGGGCGCGGCTGCCCGCGCCGGGGGGGCCCGGGCGGAGGGCGCCCACCGCCCAGGGATTCAGAGGCGGGGAAGGTTCGGCCACGCGCAGGAGGAGGAGGAGGAGGAGGAGGAGGAGGAGGAGGAGGAGGAGGAGGCCCTCTCCATCCTCCCTTCTCCCCCGTCCTACCTGTGGTAGCCCTGGTGGAACAAGCTGCTCATCAACTCAGCACGGGTCAGCCACGCGCAGAAGGGGGCAGGGGGAGGGGGGGAGGCTTCTCAAAAGCACACCTGCTTCTGAGAAGGCGCGGGCCTCGTTTGTAGATGTGAGGCCCCTGCCTTCCGAGAAGCACCCCTGTTTCTAAGAAGCCTTCCCCCTCCCCTTACTTCCTTGTGCGCGCCGCCAAAAGGTACCTAAACCGCTGCCCCTGCTTCAGTTTCCCTTTTTCGGGCCTCCTGAGAGGCCCCCGTCGCCACCGCCGGATTCGCCTCGAAGTCGTGGTCGGGGGCTCGCGTGCTGCCCCGGCGGTTGTGGCAGTTTTTGTCGGCAGGGCTTAGGAGACGGGGGCAATACAAATGGGTGTCCGTCAGAGCGCCAGATCTTGCAGGATTCTGCAGAGCAAGAGCTGCATTGACTCAGGGGTGGGTGCAGGATCCTGCAGGATCCTGCGGAAACTTGCAGTATCCTGCAAAGTTTGACTGACCAGGGTATGGAATGACCTAGGTCAGTAGATCCCCGATGTCGGGAGGATATCATGGCCGGGGCCATGGTACTTCCTTGGGTTTCGCGGCCCCATTCTCTTCTTCTGTCAGGGAATGCCCAGCCCAGAGGTCCAGAGAGAGTCCCGCGCGGGTCCGAACGGCTGTTGCGCAGCATCACGGAATGGTTCCCAACGATTCTTTTTGGCCTTGACTGGCGTTTCTTGAGGCGTTCGCTTTCGTCTCCACCCCACAGCCCCTATCAATCCGAGCGAATCGACCTCGATTTCGACCGGCACGATCCGAATCGATTCCGATACCCCGACGATCCGATGCGGCCCCAGGTTTGCGCGACGATGTTGTGCAATGTGGCGGGGTTGATCCGAGTCGACTCCGACTCCGCGCCGCTGCGGCCCGATCCGAAGCGCGTCTCGAGTCGATCCGATTCCCCGACGCGACGCTGCCGGATCCGGCCCCCCCCCTCCCGCGCCCCCGCGCGAGGCCCCCTGGAGAAGTACCGCCGCCGCCTGTGCAGATCGCAGGCCGCTCCGTCCTTGCGTTATGTCGGGCCTGTCCCCCTACAGGGGATTTTCCACGAAAAATCGAAAATACAGCCCAAAATAGTTTAAAAATAATCCAAACATAGTCTGGGGACTATTTTTTGAGTAGTTGTTGGCTTTTTTGGGGGGTATGTTTGGGGTATTTTATATTTTCTTCGAAAATCCCCCTGTAGGGGGACACGCTCGACATAATGCTTGCCGACAGGGGCGGGCCCGCCCGGGGTGGGGGAAGGGTGGCCGCGGCGGCAGACAGGAGCAGCACCGGCAGCCGGTGCCATGCCCTGACATCCTCGCATCGTGAACAAAGACACGACGGCATGTTTTTGACAGTTTTTCGCACCCGCGGGCCCTTACTAGGCCCCAGGACCGCACAACAAAATTGTCGAGATGGAGCAATGGTCCCCGGGAATTGATCCGTGCATCTGGGGAGCCATAGAGACCTGGTGTGAAAAACACGACGTAGGACGTTTACGTGTCGTAGGTCTCCCATCTGGAATCTTTGCTGTTCCATGGTGGTTGGCAGCCTGCAGATCCGAAGGTCCTCCAGACGTACTATGGTGATCGAGAGCCAGTTGTAGTTTGTTCGATGCGGTATTTGTTCCAATTCCCATGCGAAGCTCGAGCACGTGTTTGGATTCCTGTGTGTGGCCAGCTTGCAGCCTCCCTCAGCCAGCCGACCTCTCTCACTCTCACTCTCGCTCTCGTGCCCCTCCTCACTGGCGGCCATCCTCGCCCTCAATTTCTCTCAAGGTTGTGGCTCTTCGCCGCAAGAAGTCGCTCAGATTTTGGGCTTGCGGGGCTGGCCTCTGCTTCCAAGCCGCCCAGCGGGCGCGAAGGGATGCAAGCCGGCCAGCCCCCTGATGTTGTCTGCGCTTTTGTCACGTGATCCTTCGTCTCCATCGGCAGCCTTTCCGTCGCACCCTCACTGTGCTGCGCACTGGTCACACCAGCGTCCGTTCTCGTGCCCTTCTCGGATCCACGCCCCTTCCCGTCCTTTTTGTATTCGCCCCCGGTATCCAAACTACAGCTTCTCGCCACTCCGTTGGTCCCTCTCTTCGGCATGATTACCCTCTCGTGTATGCTTCCTGAAACAGTGCGCCCATTCGCAACCTTTCGGTCGCTATAGTTACGGCCTCTGACAGAGGTCTAGGGTTGGCGGCACAGAACCTTTCCTTCGCGAATGCCTCGCATGGCGGCCGAACCCCGTCGGATCAGACCCTGACTGACCGGTCGTGGATATGCCCTGTGAGACTCTCCAGCTATCTCTTTACTTGAAGGATTTGGCTCGATCTTGTAATTTCTATCCAGAGCACTCCCGCTCAAGAATGGTGCGTCCTTGTCCAGTCCGCGGTACATCTCAGATGCATTTCGAGCCGACGTATCAGGGGCCGCCTCAGGGGACGAGTCAGGGTTCTGTGCTTGGGGACGTGTCAGGGGGCGTGTCAGGGGACGTGCCACGGAATGTGTCAGGGGCGTCTCTAGGGACATTCAGAGCCACGTCCGAGGCTAGCTATTCGCTCCGCCTGCCCAACAGCGACAACACTTCTCGTTGCGCATCGTACCCATGTGTTCTGTACCCTTCCCGGGCGTCCAAAGAAAGCAGAGGCCATTTCGTCAAGAGCGTCGTGTGACTCTTGATGACTGGTGAGTTAGCTCCGTGCTGTCGAGCCGCCCTGTCACGGCTGCCCCGATCTCGGGCGACGAGATTTTTGCACATGCACCGATCCTGGCCAGGCCCGTCCTGGTTGGCCCCAGGATCCGTGCAGCTGCCCTTCCTGGCAGTGGCAGGAAGTCGGAAACTGGAACATTTACATCGCCAGTGGCGGGCCGTTCTTGCCAACCCCACGACTTGGGTCGAGGACGACGCTGGGGGGGGGGTATACTCTCCCCCTGTTGTTTCCAAGGGAAACAACGAAACATGTACACACCAGGATCCCGTATATCGGGTCGGGCGAAAGGGGGGGATAGCAAACGGTTTGAGAATCAGCTCACGTAGCTGATTTTCCCGGCGCTCCCGGCGCCGGAGCGGCCACGTATCGAGGAATTGGCCCATCGGTGAGGCCCGAACCAGCTGCATGCAGCAAATGTCGTAACCCCCCTTTCCCAATCCCCCCCTTTCGCCCGACCCGAGTATACACCACAATCCGCGCTCCTGTGCGAATGCTTCAGCGCAGGGTCGGGAAAAGCGTCGGTGCACCCGTCCCCCGCCGGGGCCAGGTCTCCCTCCCGAGCGGTCTCTGCTACGGCCCCCGGGGCCCGCCCGAGGAGGGCCCCCGGAAGCCCGAGAAGCGCAGGAAAAACACGAGGACCGTTTTCCTCCTCCTCCTCTTCCTCCTCCTCCTCTTCCTCCTACTCCTCTTCCTCCTCCTCCTCTTCCTCCTATTCCCCCTCCTCCTCCTCCATCCTCCATCCTCCTCCTCCTCCTCCTCCCTCCATCCCCCTCCATCCCCTCCTCCTCCTCCTCCTCCTCCTCCCCCCTCCTCCCCGTCTCCTCCTCCCTCGTCCTCGTCTCCTCCTCCTCTCCTCCTCCTCCTCCTCCTCCTCTTCCTCCTATTCCCCTCCTCCTCCTCCATCCTCCATCCTCCTCCTCCTCCTCCTCCTCCTCCTCCTCCTCCTCCTCCTCCTCCTCCTCCTCCTCCTCCTCCTCCTCCTTGCGAGAAAGGCCACCCAGCGCAGAGTTCGCTTCTCTATAGGAAGAGCGCGTGCACCGATGCCGGGCCCAGGCGGGGCCCTCGCCGGCGTGGGTGCCTGTGCGCAGCTCGCTCCGCGCTGCTCCGCGCGCGCGCCGGCGACAGGTCTACTGCGCCCTGGCCGTGGCCGGCGGGGCCCACCTCCTCTCCAGGCCGGCGGGGCGAACGAGAAATCTAGCGTACTGACAAACACCAAAGCGGAGGTTTCTCTCCACTGTCGGCCTCTAAAGGGGCCCTCGCCGGGCCCCGGGACCGTCGGAAAGCGACTCGGGATGAGAAAGCGGTCCCGGGGAATGGGTCGAGACTTCGGGGGACCGCGCATCGAAAAAATCACGACATCGGATCTCTGGAACGGTGGACGTGTCCGCGCGAGCGCGACGCCGGTGCAAAAGTGCATCGGTGCGGCCACGAGACTGCTTTCATCCCCTGGCGATAGTGTGTGTGTGTGACCAGGGGGGCCGGCAAACGTCACATTTTGCGCCGGCGCCGTCTGGGAGTGAACCTGCATGGCCAATTCCCAGGCGACGCCGGCGCGAATCGCGACGTAGCCAGAGGAGACATTGGGTTGGGGGTTGGGCCGACCTCGCGTAGGCGCGTTCAAGCAAGGTTTGCCGCGGCAGGGCCTCTGTGGCAAGTCGGGTTTGTTCTGCTCGAGAGTTCGATTGAGACGGTTTGGGCGGTCGAGGGACAAACGAATTGGACATGTTTGGGCCACAAGGCAAACAGTTAGTGGACAAGGTTGGGTGTACGTGAGGCGCCCGAGCACGCGCCCCCACCAGGGCACAGCTCGTACACTGGCGAGCCCTGAATCTTCAGAAGCCTCCTCGTGCCTGTCCCTCTACACTGGGGGCGCGTGCCAAGAAACCAGTTGGACTTTTCCAGGGTGCCGTGCGTTTCTTGGATTTCGATGGGCCCCCAATAAGATCTAGACGATTGTGGATCGACAAATTTGGATTTTCACTGAACAAATCGCGGATTTCAGGATAGGGTGTCTTGCGGACGTTTCTTGTGGCCGAGCCCCCACTCTACATTGGGACCTCGCGAGTGTCCCGCATCGTTTTCTGCACCATTATGCGTCCTCTGTGACTGCTGTATGAGGCAACCACGGTCGTGCAAGTGGTCCGCGTATATCATCTGGCGTGTCAACATAGTGGCGTCGCCTGTGCCACGGCGTGGTCGGATCTTAAAGTGTGAGTCTCTCGTTCACGCTTCTGTCCCTCCTTGGACCAGCAGGTTGTGTAGAATTGCCCAAGATGGCCCAAGAGATATGGCACCACAATCGCCCACGATGGCTATAAGTTGGCCCTGAGGGGCAACACGAGGGCCCCAGAGAGATTCAAGATGGGCGAACGGGCCCCCGAGTTTTTCCTGTGAAGAGCCCCACGACGGATGACGATGATGATGACGATGAGGATGAGGATGAGGATGAGGATGAGTATGGGGATCAGGATGAGTATGAGGATGAGGAGGATGAGGATGATGATGCTGAGGATGAGGATGATGAGGACGTTGAGGATGATGATGATGATGATGATGATGATGATGATGACGATGATGATGATGATGATGATGCTGATGCTGATGATGATGATGATGATGCTGATGCTGATGATGATGATGATGATGATGATGATGATGATGATGATGATGATGATGATGGTGATGGTGATGGTGATGATGATGATGATGATGATGATGATGATGATGGTGATGATGATGATGATGATGCTGCGGCTGCTGCTGATGATGTGTGTGGTGTTGTTGATGATGATGAGGAGGAGGATGAGGATGATGAGGAGGATGAGGAGGAGCAGGATACTGATGCGCCTCTACACGCGCGCCCCCATTACCCATCCTCCCTCGCCCTTGTCATGTTCATCATCTCCGTCCTGCCCCTCGTCCTTTCTCATTACGCTTCTCCTTATCCTTCTTGGTTTACCCTTCCCCACACTTGCGCCATATGACGACTACCGCCCACCCTCCTCTCTCCCCAAAAGCCGCCCTGAGAGCGGCGCGTCCCCGTCCGCGCATCTTCGATTGCACGCAGCATTGGTCAGAGTTCTTGTTTGCATTTCCCTACCATCCTGTGGTGTTAGGTCCGCGTTTCGAAGGGCCGGCGCCCCGCGTTCTCCTCCCGCCTCCTCCCTCCCGCCTCCTCCCTCCTCCCGTCCCTGCCTCTGCTCTCCGCAGCAGCCAACCATGTCGGCACACCCTGGTACACGTTCCATAGCCCCATAAGGAGCTCCACCGATGGCCCCAGTGGTTGCGCTCACATGGCACAATCGCGCCCAATGCCGGAAAACCCCTCACATGGTTCGTGGCCTCATAGGGAGTTCCACCGAAGGCCCCAGTCGTTGCGCCCGCATGGCACGACCGCGCCCGCGCAAACGGCTCGTGTTCCCATAAGGAGCTCCACCGAGGGCCCCAGTGGCTGCGCTCACATGGCACCACCGCGCCCGTGTCGGAACACCCCTCACACGGTTCGTGGCCCCATAAGGAGCTCCACCGAAGGCCCAAGTCGTTGCGCACGCATGGCACCACCGCGCACATTTCCGACACACCTCTCACACGTTTCGTGGCTCCATTGGGAGCTCCACCGAGGGCCCCAGTGGCTGCACTCGCATGGCACCACCGCGCCCATTTCGGCACACCACTCAGGGGTGTCGTGGCCCCATAGGGAGCTCCACCGAAGGCCCCAGTGGCTGCGCTCGCACGGCGCCACCGAATCCATGTCGGCACACCCTCAAACGTTTCGTGGCCTTATAGGGAGCTCCACCGAAGGCCCCAGTGGCTTCGCTCGCAGGGCACCACCGCGTCCATGTCGGAACACCCCTCTCACGGTTCGTGGCCCCCTCAGGAATTTCACCGAAAGCCCCGGATTTTGCGCCCACATGGCACGACCACGCCCATTTCGGTACACCCCTCACACGGTTTGTGGCCCCACAAGGAGCTCCATCGAAGGCCCCAGTCGTTGCGCCCGCATGACACGACCGCGGCCATTTCGGCACGCCCCGCACCCGGCTCGTAGCCCCATAAGGAGCTCCACCGAGGGCCCCAGTGCTTGCGCTCACATGGCACCACCGTGCCCATGTTGGAACACCCCTCACACGGTTCGTGGCCTCATAAGGAGTTCCACCGAAGGCCCCAGTGGCTGCGCTCGAATGGCACCACCGTGCCCATGCACGTTTCGTGACCCCATTGTTAGGGAGCTCCACCGAGGGCCCCAGTGGCTGCGCTCGCATGGCACCACTGCGCCCATGCCCGCACACCTCTTACGTAAAGGTTTCGTGGCCGTATAGTGAGCTCCACCGAGGTCCCCAGTGGCTATGTTCGCATGGCACCACCGAGCCCATGTCGGCACACCCTCAAACGCTTCGTGGCCCCATGGGGAGCTCCACCGAAGGCCCCGGTGGCTGCGCTCGCATGGCGCTGCCGCATGTCGGCACACCCCCTCACGCGTTCGCAAGCGCCCACCGTGCCCATTTCGAAACACCCCTCACACGTCTCGTCGCCTGGCAGGGAGCGTCATCGAAGACAACACTCACAACTGCGCTCCTCACAACTGCATATTGTTTGGTCTTTCGCCAGGCTAATTGTTTTTCGAACCCCCTCGTCTGCGGCCCTTCCACCATGGCGCTCCCCCGTGCAGCGTGGACCTCGTTTCGGGATCGGCGCTTTGCTCCTGCTCTGGTCGTTCAGACTGGCACTCTCGCCCCGGCGCCTGCCACTGGCCTGGGCCGGAGTCCGTTCTCCTCGTTATCGCCCCCCTCAGTTCCCTTCCTCTGCCTTCCCCTGGTCATCGTGCTCCTTCCGCTCCTTCCTCTCCAGCTCTTGCTGCTGCTGCTCGTCCTCGTCCTCCTCCTTCCTCCTCCGCTTCCTTTGCCTCCTGCTCATTCTCCTGCTCATCCGCCGCCTCCTCTTCCACTGCACGCAGAGTTCTAGGTCCGCTATGGCAAGCGTTGGTGGACAGAGAAGCCTCAGCGCAATGGGAAGGGCTGAGTGGGAGGGGTAGGAAGTCAAATATACGCGAGCGCACCTAGCTTGTCTCTCCGTCCGCGCCTCTCTCTCCTGCCTTCTCCCTTCTCTCCTCCCTCCCTCTTGCCCTGCCTCCCCACCCCCACCCCCATCCCGTGGCTGGTGGTCAGCGCCAGGGCGGGGGACAGCGGGGGGAAATGCATGCTCACACGTATCTATGTCGTCATTGGTGATGCACTCCTCGCCCTAATCCGAGCCCCTGTTTCTGCCTTGGCAGAGAACATGTCGGCTTCGAAACCCAAGATGTCCTACTTTTTCGGTCGTGGTTTCTCTGCCGCGCTATACGCGAGGTTTCTACACGCTTGGAACTCGAGCGCGCGCGAAGCGCGCGCGCGTGATGGTTCTAGGCAGTTTCAGGATTTGCCAAGTACGTTCTTGTTCATCCATGGTCGTACTCCCGCGTCCAACCTGCTCGTTTGCATTCTTCGGCAGCTCCCTGGAGGTGCCGGTGGCATCCACATGATCTGCTGTACGAGATATCCATGGAGTGCCTCCTCTGGTCGAAGACCCTTCAGCGGCAGCTGGCCCATACTGAATGTGAGAGGCACTGGAGCACTCTCGATGCTGTCCCAGCGAATCGGTGGCGCCGCAGGCCCGCGCATTGCACGCCATCCCCTTCCTTGGGGGTGGCGTGCCCTGAAGAAGGCCTGGCAGGGGGATGCCGCGTTTAGAAGTGGCCCCCGCGGGGGGATCGCCCATGGGGATGGCGTGCTTTTCGGAGAACTAAGCTGCACGCTATCCTTTAACCGACCCGTATCCCCATCCCCATCCCCATCCAGACCCGCTTTATCCCACTAATCCAGTTGGGGATATACCCCTCGCAATCCCAAGTGAGCAGCCTGTATCACCATCTAGGGAGGTAAAACGGCCAGTGGGGCCCTGGTCACGCCGCTGTGGATGGGGGTTCGGATGAGCGATGCTCACCACCGTGTCTCGTTTTTTCGACTTTCCATCAAACCGTGCCATCTCGCTCGAAGTGTTGCGCTGGCCTGCCAGGCCGCATTTTTCTGTTAAAGCTCGGGTGCTGCCAAAGACATCCATGGCCCAACGTCTCTAGGATCCCCAGAGAGGCCAAAGTTGGCTGCAGAGCCCTCCCAGATGGGATCGGAGCAAATGGAGTCAGAGGATCGCGCCGCGTCGCTGATGCATCGGCGATGCAGCGCGACGTGGAGCCCGACTTTCTCCATGCTGACGTGGCTCGTGCATCGCCGACGTCGCTGATGAATTGGCTATGCGGCCTGACTGTTTGACCTCGGCCCCATGTGGGAGGCCTCTACCCCCTCACGAGGCCGGGAGGGCCTCAGGGGCTCCAACGTGGCGCGCAAAGATGGGGCATGTGGGCCAGGACCACGTCTAGCAGCACCCGAAGAGCACTGTCAGTGTGGACGTTTCGACGTGCCGAGCATGCGCCTTGGGGTGCGTCGTCGTCGCGGCGGCTGGACTCGGCTCGAAGCGGTGGCCGCGGTGGCGCGCAGGGGTCTTCGAAAGGCGTCGTGATGGGCTTGTTTTCTACCGCCACCACCACAAAGTTGGAGGGGGAGGGGTTCTTCTAGGCTTCCTCCTCATCCTCCTCCTCCTCATCCGCCACATCACAGCGTTCTTTTCAGCTCGTGCCAAGCTTTCGCCCTCCTCCTCATCCGCCACTTCCTTCCCCCCTCCAACTCATGGTGGTGGTGGTGGAAAACAGGCCCATCACGTTGGCCGAGGGCGAGGAGTGGCGCGCTCCTCCGTGTCCGCGGTGGCGAGGGGCACCCACAGCGAGTCCCGTCCGACCGTCGTGGGAGGCTGCGGGCAAGAATTGTCAGCCCCGAGGAGAGGCACATCGCGAGGGGCGGACGAAGAATCGGCCGGTCGCCTCCTTTGGATCCTGATGATGATGAAGTGTTGATGAGGATGGTGGTGGTGGTGGTGATGGTGGTGATGGGGACGAGGAAGGGGGTGATATTGGTGCTGATGATGCTGGTACTGATGATGGCGATGGGGAGCATGAACATAGATGATGTTTGTAATGGTGGTGCTAATGCTTGTGATGATGATGCCGATGACGATGACAATATTGATGTTGGTGTTGATAATGTTGATGATATTGATGATGGAACGTGTGATGATGGTGATGATGATGATTATGTCGATGATGAGTATGATCCTGATCGTGATGCTGATGATGATGATGATGATGATGATGATGATTCAGGATGTTGGTGATGCCGAGGGTGACGGTGGTGGTGGTGATGTGAATGAAGACGATTCCGATGATGATGATGTTGATGATGATGATGATGATGATGATGATGTTGCTGATGTTCATGTTGATGCGGTTGACGATGATAATGATGATTATGATGATGATGCTGATGATGATGATGATGATGATGATGATGATGATGGTGATAGTGATGGTGATGGTGATGATGCTGTTGGTTATGATGGCAATTTGGATGATGCTGACGATTATCATGATGATGATGATGATGACGATGTTGACAATGATGATGCTGATGGTGATGTTGATGATACTAATGGTGATGCTGACAATGATGATGCTGATGCCGATGATGACGATGGTGAGGCTGATGATGATACGGATGATGATGACGATAACGATGCCGATTCTGATTATGTTTGTAATTCAGAGTGTGATACTGAATCTGACGATTATGTTGATGGTGGTGGTGGTGGTCGGGAGCCCTTGGGGCGTCGCCGCTCCGTTCGGGGAGGGGCTGTGGGTGCCAGCGGCCACTGAGTATCCAGAGACACCATGGCGCTCGCCTTTCGGTCCCGGGTCTCACCGCTGTCGGCGCCTTTACCTTGGAGGGTGCGTCTGAGGCGAGGGGGTTGCCCTCTCCTTTTCCATCGACTCGGGTATGGTTCGCGACATGGCCCTGGCTGGCCTGAGGTAGCGCTGACGCGGGCCCCGCGCCCCAAGGGGTATTGTCTCTGCTCGGCCTTCACCCAACGAATCTGGTCTTCGACTTTGCTTGAGATCGCTGATCCTATGGGCCATCCCTTCGGCACGAAGATCACGACCAGCACCACGATTGGGCTTGAGCCTCCCTCGATAGAAGCGGCCCCGGTCTTTGTTGGGGTGTGAATGTGGACATGCTGTGTTAAGGCCGCGGAGGTCAAATAGCCACGGCAGCAAGGGTCCCAGATAGGTCTCGTGGCGGTCATCTCTCGAGATCCTGTCTGCGTGCCAGTTCCAGCGGGGGTTTGCCCCCCCCCCCCCCCCCCCAGCTCTCCCATCTTCTTTGTCGACATATCTCCGCTTCCTCCTGAGGAGGAGGAGCGCAAGAGGTCGTGATCGCGAGATGTAGCAACGGTGATCTCGTCGACATAGCTCCTCTTCCTCCTGAGGGGGAGGAGCGCAGGAGGTGGTAAGCGCTAGATGTATCAACGGTGTTGCCGCCTCCTCTTTCTCCTCCTCATTCTCTTCCTCCTCCTCCTCCTCCTCCTCCCAAGTCCCAATAAGCTCTGGCGTGCAAGTCCGTGATCCATTGCGCGAGGTGCCCTCCTTGCGAGACGAGCGCCCCATGTTGACATCGCTCGGGCCCGTGCATGCTTGTCCTCGGCGAGGGCCACCGGGGAGCCTCCTGGATCACCTGGCCACGCGCGCACGCACGCCGGCGAGCAGTGCACGGGGCAGGGAGCGAGAGGCGAGCACCCCCACTGGAGCGCTCGCGGCGCGGGCGGGAGCTCGGCTCCTGGAGAAGAGGAGCCGTTCTCCCCCCTTCGAGCGGTGGCGGAGGCGCCCAGGCGGGGGGGCCCCGGCGGGCTCCAGGGCGAGGGCCCGGCAGCAGCCACGCGACGGCAGGGGGCCGCCCTCCGCTGGCAGAAGTCGGTCGGGCCTGGCCCTCGACAGGAGGAGTCTTCAATCACAGTCAAGACACGGTCTGGGGACTGTTTTCTAACATGGTTTGTCTATGCTTGAGATCTGTTGTCGCCTCCTGAATCTTTGAAGCCTGTTTCAGGTGGACAGCCGGCAACGCTTGTCCGAACACTCGAAGAAAAAATCTTAATCTTTGAAGCCGGAACCCGCCTGTAGGGGGACATGCCCGACCTAAAAGTAGGTCAGGGTGAGGGGGCCGAGCGGTCATTCACGGTCAAGTTGGATTCCGCGGTGCGGGTTGTTGTTGGTGTTGGTGTTGGTGTTGGTGTCGGTGCTGGTGCTGGTGCTGGTGTTCGTGTTGTTGTTGTTGTTGATGTTATTGTTGTTGTTGTTGAACATTATTACTTCTAAAGAATAATTATTGTTGGGACCCCTGGTGCACGGCCCCCTCGCCGCGCCTAGGCCGCAGCCATGTTTTCATCATTTTCGTGAGGAAGTCTCCGGCAAAACGGGTTGGTCCGGATCCGGTTGTTTTGTTACGGGCGGTTTTCCCTTGCAAAAAATAAAAAGTGGACATTTCTTGTTCTAACATAACCAAACTTCAAGAATCCCTTGCAAAAAATAAGGTAAAGTGGACATTCGCGCGCGCAAGACGAAATCCTTCCAAAAGCTTAGTGTTCGGAGCGATTTTAACATAAAAACATCAAAAAACCAATGGTTTTTCAACAAAAAAATGTCAAAATCTCATCCCGCGCGCTCTTGCGGATTCGTAGGAAAACCCAACACTTTTAAAACATTTCTGTCAAACGGGCTTTTGCGAGCAACTTTTTCGAACTTCTGCGACAACGGTTGCGCACCTGCCAGGGCCATCATCCCTGTCAAATAATACCATGCGGGACACATTCGTTTTTTCTTCGCGCGCGCACGCCGAAATCTCCAAAAACCATTGGGTTTCTTAAGAATTTTAGCACCGCGCAACATAAAATCACACGAATCGCACCGTAGGTCCTCGAAAAACACCTGCACGACTTTTCAAAATTTCTACCCGCGCGCGCTGTCCGAATCCTAAAAAAACCAATGGTTTTTCAACATTTATGTTACATGAGCTCGCGCGAGCTACTTTCGCAAGCTCTTTCAACGGCGTTCGCGCGCCTGCCAGGGGCCACAATCCCTTGCAAAACATACCATGCGGGACACATGCGCGCGTGTCGCGTCGTCGTCGTCGTCGTCGTCGGCATGTTACCATGTTACCACAACAAGTCACTGTACCCATGCGCCAGTGTAGTAGCCACGGTCGTCCGCAGGCCACGAAGTGAAGTGTCCGAACGTCATAGGGCGGGAAGCTGGGTGTGGGTGGTGGCGAAGAGTCGTTTGGAAATGTGGTAGAGCTTGAACCGGCCCCCCCACAAAGTGGGGGTATTGGCGGGCGTCGTATGAAAACCCTGGCACTGGTGAGAACGGAGTGTCCCCACGTGCTAGTACTTGTTGTTGTTGTTGTTGTTGTTGTTGTTGTTGTTGTTGTTGATGTTAATGTTGTTGATGTTGTCGTTACGGTTGGTGCTGTGTGTTGATTGTTGTGTTGTTTGTTGTTTTTGTTTGTTGTCGTCGTTCTTCCCTCGACCCAGCCCGCGACCCACCCGCGACCCACCTCGCGACCCCGCGACTCACCCGCGATCCACCCACGATCCACCCGCGATCCACCAGGGAACCACCCGCGACGCGCTTTGACCAGACATTCAGCGCCTGCGGCGGGCTCGTTGCATCATTTGATTTGAAATTCGGCTCCTGCGGCAGTCTCCTCCAGAGACTCGCAGGCTGCCGACGATCTCGCCGCCCCCTCACATTTTATCCGCAAGTGCGGGGTGCTACATATTTTGGGATTTCCAGGTCCAAATCTACATTAGGCGCCTTCCTACTTCAAGCTCTTCCGTCTTCGCGGGGGCGGGAGCCCAATGCATTTCCAGCGCCTTCCGACTTCACGTTTATACCCAGTTCTTCCGACCGACGGGTGTAGACTTTTGGTGAGAAGTTCCAACGGAGTCTTAAACGATCAACGAGACCCCTACTTGGAAAAGCAATCGCCCTGCATCCAGGTGGTCCGTGCACAGTTGTAAGGCTTAGATTGCATACGTTGCGGCAGCTCGAGGGGAGAGTCCCACTTACAAAAGGATTCGCCCTGGGTCCATGTAGCTGTGAAAGGCCGGGGCCCCCGTCTCGAACTCCCTTCGCCATGCATCCGTAAAACTGCAGGATTGTTTGAATGCGATCGCGCGCTGCCCCAAGACGAGAAGAGCGCCAGTTTGAGAGCCTGCCGCCCTCCATACGTGCAGCTGCTGGATGTAGGTTGTGCGCGTGGGCGCGGCGCCACGGCGAAAACCCCGCTTGGAAGACCTTGCGCACCCCATCCGTGTCACCGTTGGAATGTTCAGGAGGGGAACAAACACACAGACACAATTAATCGTCGATTCCAAGGAAAATATGGGAAAATATGGGAAGTGGGGGGGAAGACAACAATCCAGAAAATATTAGAAAATATGGGGAATGTTTTTATTTGTGTGTAATTATTTGTGTGTCCTGGGGCCCTTTCAGTTGGAATGTTCCATCGATCTGTCTGGTGGTTGGCTGAGGAGAAATTGAAAGAGGGCTGGAGCACGCGCAGGAGGGAGAGGAGGACGCCCATCTGCCTCCTCCCTCCCTCCCTCCCCTCCCTCCCTCCCTGCCTCTCCCTGGGATGCAACTCCTGTGAGGTTCAAAAATTCTGAATCGGCTCTGGCACATGCCAAACTGCCCTGATCTGTTCTAATCCTGCTCGCTCCAGCCTCATCCCGCTTACTCCGGCTCCATCCCGTACAATCCTGCTCAATTCTGGGCTCCATTTTGCTTAAGTTGGCCCAACGGCTCCTACATCAGGCTCTGTAGCCCTCAATCGTTCGGCTGAAACCTCCTAGGACCTAGGATTTAGATGCCCCTCAGCTAACCCCCCTCTTGCCACTTTCTGCCTCGTCCATTGCAATTTGTTCGTTCCGTCTCAACGCAGATGCTGCCAGGACATTTCGATTGTAGAGCAATGCGTAGACGCAGATTTGCGTAAGATGTATCTTCAGACCTATTGAGCATCAGATTTTTGAGCTTTCTCATCCTGGCTAGAGATATTCGGGATACAAGCAATGACATACGCATACCAACTCGGAATTCCGCTTGGTTTTCTCGGATCTGAGCTAGGCCCCCTCTTTGGCGCGCGGAGCGCGGCAGGGGCGGCGCGGGAGGCGCTGCCAGGGGGGGCCCGCGGAACCGAGAAATTCTAGCGGACCTCCGAGTCTGTATACTTATGTCATCGCTTATCCCCCTATATATGGAAAATATGCCTTCTCCCCACCTCTCAAGGTGGATCAGCTCCTCCTGGCCGCGAGGAATCGAAGCCTGAAGACCGACGATGGAGGATCGAAGATCGAAGGTCGAGAATCGAGGATCATGGATCGGGGACCAGATGTCGAGGATCGAACAGCGAGGAACGAGGTTCGAGGATCGAGGCTCGAGGCTCGAGGATGGAGGATCGAGCGTGTTGCCTCCTTGCGGCTGTCTGCCTCGACGGCCGCGGAGAAACACCCATAGGGCCCGCCTAGCCGGGCGGGCCGCCCCCTCCCCCCCCGCGCCCCGGGGCCCCGGGCGGAGGCACCAGGTGCTCTTCGGCATGGCCGTGGGGCACTGGGCCACGGCCCTCTGGGAGGAGCCGAGGGTCGACGGTCCTCAAGATGCGTGTGTTCGCCCAGTGTGTGCGCACCCCTCGGGGGTGGACAGAATTCCCCCAACAGTGACACGTCGACTAGTGAGTGGTCCGTTTTCGGTTCTCGAGGTGGCGCCGTGGCCGTCATTTGTCCAGGCTTGCGCCCGCCAGGTTTGGGCCTCAGGTCGTTTTCACTAAACCATGTTTTACGAAAGGGGGGCCTGTCCATCCCCGAACCCCGTTAGTTATAACTTCGGCCCCGGCTGGCCGCCCCCGCGCGCTCATCCCGGAATGAGTGCCCCGTCCTCCGCGGCCGCTTCCCCTGGCCCCGTCGTCCTTCTGCAGCCGGTCAATCGGTCAGCCGAGCGGCCCCGGCAACTCCAGCGCGCGAGCGGATTGCCTCTGCCGCGCCGCGACGAAAAACGCTTATACCCTGTATGGCTTGCGCCGGCCATCGTTACACCATCTGTGTCGTATTGAAGGGCTTGAGTGGACCAGCACATGTTGACGCCAACACACGTTCTGAGGATAATCGAAACGATCGCCCCGCTCCCGGGGAGGGTGAGCCGCCAGGGAGCTGTGGAGGAGGAGGAGGAGGAGGAGGAGGAGGAGGAGGAGGAGGAGGAGGAGGAGGAGGAAGGGGAGGAGGAGGAGGAGGAGCAGCAGCAGCAGCCAGCGGGGATTAGGTGAGGAACATGATCCTATACTGATACCGTTCGCCCGTTATCCTCCTTTTTGTGCCTCCCGGGAGACCTTCGTCGCCACGATTGGAGTCGCGTCGAAATCCTCGTCAGGAAGCACCCCGGCAGGGGTCCAGGGAGCAGCTGTTGGTTTTTAAAGGATTCCCAGAAGGAGAAGCAGCGGGGAGGGGAAGGAGGATAATAGAATGAAGAATGCGAAGGGAAAAGGTTGAACATGATGTTGTTGAAGTAGTGTCGTTTATCGGTCAAAAGATCCCCCCCGGGCCCCCTGATTTTACTACAAAGGTTAGACCAATCAAATCTGGGGTTCGGATACATTTTTTATCACTCCCCCCGCTACGCTCATGGGCTCGCGCCGTGATAGCGCGCCGAAAACTAGTTTGTGAATCGTATGCCCCCCTCCATCATTTTTCAGGCGCATCTTTGACAGATCTCGTGATCCCCCCTCACACACCCGCTGTGCAGTTTCGAGCATTCCTTCGGATCGTAGGAACCTCCCCATTGCGAGGAGGAGGAGGAGGAAATGGAGGAGGAGGAGTTTACTACGACTACAGCTACGATGACCAGTCTTTACTGCCACTACTACTGCTACTACTACTACTACTACTACTACTACTACTACTACTACTACTACTACTACTACTACTACTACTACTACTACTACTACTACTACTACTACTACTACTACTACTA